AGCCATATCTTAATAAAAAATATTAATTATATTTTTTTTTCAAATCAAAATATAAACAAAATAAAAAATTACAAAAAAACTAGAAAACAAAAAACAAATTAGTCACAAACAACCCTTTACTGTTTGCGAAACAAATTTATGTTGTGTCAATTAGCTTTTAAGTATTAAATCAAGATAATGAGCAACAAAATGAGTCTATTAAAGATGTTTCTTTTTTTCCATTAAAATTATCTTAGCAGCATTATAGGCACTTGCATTATCTGTAATAATTGTAACTACTAAACTCTCCCCAACTTCTTAAATAACCTCATCAAGCATTTTAAATTTCAATTGGACATCTTTTACATAGGTTGATACATCGATAGATTTCAACAATATTGTTCCATAGGGGTTGTTAATAAAGAATTTGCAGTAATTTTCGTCAAATATCGGACCAATCATTTGACATTATTGTAACTTCTGTCTCAATCCATGTTTTCTTCACTTCATCAGTTATTTTTGTGTTTATTTTATCCACCTCATCTAATATCCAAGTTATAAGCTTATATGTACTAAAGAATATTCAACCCTCACTCATAATTCCAACAGAACGAAAGATGTTGATCAATGAATGATCATATTAAAAGAAATTTCATTCTCATAAATGCATCTTGTAATAACTAAAAATAATCTATTTGTATTCTTTTGTAGAAGCTAAAAGAGGAATTGGTTGAGTGTTGATATTTTCATCTTCATCCACATTCACTATAAATCTATTCATTGGTCAAATGGCTTCAACTGTTAGAATAATCAAATTGAGAGCTTAAATAAAAAATCTACTTCCAATCATCTCTTCCACATTTCTTTGCACTGTTTTTTTTTTAAGGTGACAAATTTTTAAAATATTAAGAATATTTCTTCTTCACTTCATCTTGCACTTTCTCACATGCTCAAACATTTAAATGTATGCAAGTTAAGTAATTCACTTATCATAAAATTTATATTTCAAATGAACATATCCTTTTTTGCACTTTCTCCTACACTTCAACTTGAGTCCCTTATTTTCAAGCTTAACCCCTTTCTTCTTATGCCCCCATCCATTCTAATTAACAAATAAAATTTAAATAACTACTCCTAACTATAATTGGAAGACAAAATAAATTCCCCAAAAAAAAAACATCTTCCATTGTCATAAAATAATAAATAAAAAAAATTGGGTCATTGACATGCATACCCTACAATTCTTGTTGTATTTAGTATTTACATATCTAATACCTAAACAATCATATTTGCATGCGCATCTAGAATCTCTAACATTTTATTAGCCTCACCTAAAACCAACGTACAATTAAGGAGTGTTGAAATTCCAACCATTAATTATGTATAAAAAATAAATAAACGAAGCAACGAGTGGTGCAATCTTATGAACAAGTGAATGAATGGAAGTCTTGTGCCATCATGAAAAATTCCCGTTGTACAAAAAATCTAGTGAATCAAATAGATATTGAGGTTGAGCATGTCTTTGGAATGAAACAAATAGTTAAACCATTGTAAAATTATGAAAATGAGTGAACTCTAGCAGCTGAAATATATATATATATATTAAAGATTAAAGCCCAAGGGCAAATATACAAGGGCAAATATATTAATACGGAAGAAAAACACAGAGATATTGCATGAGATGACATAAATGAAAGCCTAACTCATGCAAAACAACACACACAAAACTCAAATAAAACAAAGATATATAAAGGAAAAAGAAAAAACCAAAAGCCACAAAAGGGCACAAAGGTGCTAGGGACGTCCCACTTTAGTCCTCCTGCCATTAGTTCGCGGAAGTGAGCCGACTAACAAATTAGTAAGTTGAGTACCATTGCCCGTAGTAACCAAAGTGTCATCCATAAGATTCCCGAACTCAAGTAAGTTTTCATTTTTCTTCTTCCTCCTCGATGTGTAGACTTGTTATTCCTCATCTGATGATTGACTCAATTGATCAATGGATTGGTCCAAAAGTGGTCGGACATGTGTAGAACGTTGCACATCTTGATCTCCCTAAGTCTGAACCTGAGTAATACCAACATTTTTCTGGACCTGATGAGACAGTAGTGAAACAATAGAAATATTTCCACCTGTATTATCGGTGATAGGTTCTAAAGCGATAGGTGTATTATCGGTGATAGGTTCTAAAGCAGGCGAGGTCTGGAGAATCACTTTTTCCCCCACGATAGGAGGTTCTAAAGACGGGGAGCTATAAGTGGGGACTGAATGGTTGACATATTGTCTGCGGGAAAAGTGACGTCTTCTGGGGTATCCTTCTGATGATCAATAATGTCAAAAACTTGGAGCTGATCAGGAGGAGATGGAATCACAGTCTCTAGTGGAGCAGTTTGCTTTTTTGGTCTGAGGTGGGGGTGCAAATGATGACATTGAGAACTGGAGTGTCCTAACATACGATAGTTCGAACAATACGGCAGAAAACACTCAATCTCTAGTAGTGGTGGTAGTGGAGGGGTTGCCAGTATAGACAAACAATATTATCCCATTGTTACAAAGCACAAACTCATGCAACACCACAAATACAACTTACATTCATTTTAATACTATCTGTTCCTCACACGTTATTTATAATTTGAATGTTACAATTACTTTATTTCTTGTGACACCCTTGAGTCAAATATTGGGAAAAACAAAATTATTTACCGCATTGATGACGCTCGACAAATGATGCAGGAAGTAGGAGCTATGCCGGGTTGTCACTCGAAGTAGAACCTGTGCTCGGTTTGACGTTCGAAATAGGGATTCCCGTCGATGCTCTAACCAGGGACTCTTGTCGATGCTCAAAACAAAAACTGTGCTCGGGATGATGCTCGAAAATGAAACCTTGGAGAAGTAGGACTTTCGTAGACACTCGAAATAGGACGCTCGTTGATGTTCGGGTGAATGCTTGATGCAAATGCTGCTCTCGGGACAATGCTGTAAAATGAAACCTAAACTTTGGCTGTTCGCAGTTAATTTAAATTAACTTTAAAACCTGAGTCGTGCCTCAAATGCCTCGAGGAGAAATGCCTCTAGACATACGCCTTGATTAAAACATGTGTAAGCCTTACCTGAAGGCTTGAGACTTGAGCATTGAGGCTACTTTTTAGCACCTCATATCGAGGGGTACTTCCAGGTGGTCACTTTAACCAATTTTTTAAACATTGGCAGCAGTTGGCTGGTGGGACAACTTCTGCTACAAGAAACTGTGAAGAAGCAGGGATGCTCGTAGTTACTTGAAGCAAGGACGCTCGTTGATGCTTGGGTAAAAGCTCAAAGCAGACGTTGCGCTTAGAATGATGCTCTAAAATGAAACCTAAACATTGGTTGTTGATCGCAGTTAATTTAACTTTAAAATCTTAGTCTTGTCTCAAACGCCTCGAGGAGAAATGCCTCTAGTCATATGCCTCGGTTAAAATAGGTGTAAGCCTCACCCATGGATTGAGACTTAAGCCTTGAGGCTACTCTTTAGCATCTCAAATCGAAGGGTGCCTCAACGCGGGTACTTACATCAAATTTTTAAACATTGGCGGCAGTTGGCTGGCAGGACAGCTCCTGCTACACAACAATATGGGCTGACTCCCATTCTAATTTACGATCCCTCGAATGCTGGAATGTGGGATTTCCTCCTGCATCATGTCATGTGCGTATCTTTTATATGCCCAGGTTTATATGCTTCTTTCAGTACATTCAGACATGCTATATGCTATGGATATTTGAGTTTTGCAATCCTATAGAAAAATAAATATCTACATTACATATGTAAGATTATATAATCTTTTACTTACATATAGTGTGCCATGCTCATATTTGTTGGGTTTATGAGGTTAACGGTTGCAAGATTTCCTAGACGGTGAAATAAACAATCGTATGTTTAACTCTGAATAGACTAGAAATTTGGACAATGCTTACCGTACTCATTCTTTCTTTAAGTATTTTGGCATACTAATACTGTCTGTAAGCTGTAAGCCTCTGGTTGATAAGCGGCAAGCCTTTCTAGGAGTGAAGAGTATTATTTCTTGTGATTTAAACCTCTCACAACTAGTGGAGGTTGGGCAATTTTAAGCAGTTACTTCAAACATTTGTGCAGAACTTGGTATAATCAAAACCACATTTGGGATTATCTTTCAAAACTATCCTAATGTGAAAGCTCACTTTGTACTTGGTTTAAAATAAAACTATGTATGATGCATTTTTTATAAAAAAATTGTGATTTCCTTCTGCTGATGCCACTTCAGTTCATCAAATTCTCCGCCTTGACACTGCATTTGATCTTCCTTTTTTTATATTAAAAAGTTGGACACTTGAACCCCATCAATTTTATATTTCAGGTATTGATTTATTAGTGCGCTTCAAGATCTACTTATGATGGAAATAAACTAGAGAACGTGATGACGTTTGTTATTAAATTTTTTTCTTTTTTTCATGCAACCCCTTTGTTTTGTGGTCCAGAAGATCTCATTCATATTGCTTCTTAGATCATATAAATAAACGTTTGATTAATGCTATTATCTTAACTTTCAGTTCTCACAAAATAAGCAGTGTTGTTGAATTTCATTGTTCCATCTAATTTCTTATCTTATGTGTGAGTTTATATAGGGTCCGCTATGGAAGGCTTTTACCATTGTTGCTTATTGATTGGATGAACAGTGGAGAGGTAATAATACTAGTGTTAACCCAAACCTCAACAGGAAAAAACAAATAATATTAAATGAAACAAATAAACATTTGCAATTAATAAACTTGAAAAGGAAATACAATAACACGACACCTAAAAATTTAAAATAACAACAGACACGATACACTCAAATTAGGGTTGAATCTTGGAGTGGTGGTGGTGGTCGACAAAGGCTTGGAAGGTGGCAAAATGGTGGACGAGGCGATTGGCAAGCAGAAAACTGGCGACAATGGTTTCTAATGGCTCGGGCTGCTAGCAAGCCACAGGGATTGATGCAGGAGGGCTGTCCAATGCGACGACAAGAACAATGTGGCCGGTTCGGAGCAGCAACAACAAGAGTGCGGCCTGTTTGCGGTGCCATAAGCAAGGTGGAATGGGTGGAGCGAGGGTTTTGGATGGTGACAACAAGTTGGAAGGGGAGGTTGCTATTTCTAGAAGCAACAACAAGGTTAGAGGAAGGTTGGCTGCTGGGAGGTAGAGAACTGCAGGGGAAGTCAACTACAGGAACCTGTTTGGCGGCTGCAACAATCGAGGATAGTCAAGAGTGTCGTGGGGAAGATGCAGAAGGGAATCAAGAAGATAAACATCGTCTTTGGAGAGATATAGTCGGAGTACCATCCAATCCCTCATATACAACCCTTGAATTGAGAAAGCAGACTCTGACAACTGTCCTCAAAAAAATTTGAGCAAAAAATTCCCTAAAAACACAAAACAATATATTAATAGATTTGGGGTAAATAGGAGTGGACCCCACTCCCAATAAAAGTGAAATTCCTAAAAAAATGGTCAACTAGCCCTCCTGGACTGGTCCAAGCCCCCCTCACTTTCTGGAGTTCATGGTACTATAGTAATACTATAGCAATGGACTAAAAAAATATTCTCTGGTTGCTCCAGCATCAGTCTCTTGAGGTTGGGGGAACTTCGACTTCATCTGTCGAAGCTTTTGTCTCATGATAGTCAGCTTGACCCAGTTGAAATGTTGAAAGTCCCGTTAAATCAATCATGTTGGTGTTGTCATTCCAAAGCACATTATGATAGAATAATTATCCATCCATTTTTTACACAACTTAAGCTGAAGCTGTAAAATGACGTAAATTCTCACAGGCCCAATCCTAAGCAAGTAAATCTATAATATGCTTCTCCCAATCCTCATACTCAGCTATATATATCTGATAAATAAGTCTGTCAGGAGGAATCAAATTTGGGATAAATGGTAAGTTGGACCGCATTGAAGTATAATCACTCAGGAGAGACATCTTTTTCTTCTTCTTTAAAAGGACATGGATACCATTGTTGGATGTTCTTTCTTACAAATTTCCTAAGGTGATTTTCAACACAGTGGTTCATTCATCCTGCCTTATTAGCTATCTGTGGGTATATTATTGAACTGAATTTAATACCTCAATGAATCCCAATGGGCTTCTAGAAGTGGCACGAAAGAGTCATCTCAGACATACTGGACATTTCTCAGCAGGGGCAACTCAAGAAATAGCTTATATATATATATATATATATATATATAGAGAGAGAGAGAGAGAGAGAGAGAGAGAGAGAGAGAGAGATATAAAACGAAGAGAGAGAGAGAGAGAGAGAGAGAGAGATCTAAAAAGCCTGAATTTCTTTTTTCTCCTGCTGATGTTCCTATGAATGTTTGCAAAACAGTAGCTCGAGACATCACAATCTCATACTCTGCATGAACACCAATTACTTTAGACTCAATTCCTTGTAGAACAGTTACTGTCAACTCAGCTAGTGCCTACCTCCTGAGCTCAATTGGAATTATTGGCGTCTCTTCTTCGTCAGCCGGAACTTCAAATTCATCATCAAAATCTTCATGTTCTACTGGATTATTGTTTATTTCTTCAACTGTTCCTTGATCCTTAAACTAGATCTTTCTCCTGATTGTGCAATCCAATTTAATGTGACCAAATCCGTGACACTTGAAACATTTCCTGACAAGGACGAATTTTAACATGACGGTTGGTTCCCTTTGCTTTCCCTTTTGGAAGGGTCAACTTGTATGTTTCCCTAGGTGTATTCTGATTATAAGATCTTAGGGTTGAACCCTGCCTGTAAGATGTGTCGGCATTTGGTGATGTGGTCTCTCCAGCTTTGAAGTTGGGATCTGCACATCTGGTCTGTATTGCCGGGTTGAACTGGCATTGCTTCTCCTGTTTCATCTTGAACTAGAAAGTAATTTATCATCTTGGACTAGAAAGTAATTTATGTTTTCCTTCTTGTTAGCATAGGTACTTCATATTTTGCCTCCAAAATAATGCATTTTTCTTTAGCTTTCTAGCGACTTCTTTTACCATTCCGTCTGGTGGGACGTCTTGATGCTCAAAGATACATTTCTAGGTCCAGAGTCACTCGATGAACTCGTCCGGGCATGTGGCTGTCGAACTATGGTAAATCCACCTTTAATTCAAAATTTTGATTTCACAAATATTTTAGGTCCTATCTTCGAGGTAGAGGTTCTTCATCCCTGATATCTGCATGTTGGAAGAGATTCACTTCCTTACTTTGATTTAGCAAGTCACCATTGGGGCTACAAGTGACTCATCCGGATTGTCTCCTCTCGAAGGTGGTAAGCCTTGGCTGTCATTGGCAGTTTTTCCATTGCATATCCTCCCTAGAATTCCACTAGATGTCATTGGCAGTTTTTCCATTGCATATCCTCCCTAGAATTCCACTAGACTCCTCTTTGTGAATTTCTCATAAATGACATATTTTCCTTTCTCCCTCAGCAGGCTTTCAACAATTATCTCCTCAACGATATGGTTAGGTTTTAGGTGTGGGCAGGTAGAAGGAGGTGTACAAGGTTGATGTAAGGTGAGAAAGAAAAAATTATCTCCTTGATCAAGCTTCCAGAAATTATCTCCTCTTCAGTATGACTACGTTTTAGGTGTGGGCAGGTGGAAGGAGGTGTGCAAGGTTGATGTAAGGTGAGAAAGAAAAATTTTAGGTGAGAAAGGTTTTGGTGTGACAAATGTTAGAAACCCTAGGATAAGCTAGACTTAGGTTAGCTTTGATACCAATTGATACAAAAATTAACCCACACCACAACAGGAAAAACAAATAATATTATTAAAAGCAAATAAACGTTTACTACCAACACACTTGAAAAAGAAAATACAATGGCACGACACACACTCAAACTGGGAAGATGCGGAAGGGAATTCGGAAGATAAACATCACCTTGGGAGAGATATACAACCGGAGGACCACCCAATCCCTCAGATACTGCTCTCAAAGGAGGAAAGCCGATGCCTGCGGCTGTCCTGACAAATATCCGAGCCAAAAACTCTGAAAAATCCAGCTGTAGCATTGTAAAAATGTTCTGGTTTCTTCTGCGTCAGGCAGATATGTGCTAATGTACTAATTTTAGAAAATCTAATTTCTGGCCTGTTTCTGAAATGTCACGGAGTATTTTAGACCTAATGGCGACGATGTTTTGCCACTAAGTGCCTTTGATTATGGCTGCTAATTGCGATCTTGCTGTTCATTATTGCCAATATGTGTTTAACTTGTGCATAGGAATGCTCATAATCTTTTATTGCAGATTTGTATTTTACAAAGCAATTTTTTGATGAACTATTTTTTTTATTAATTTTTCTTATTCAGATACATTGATGCTGCGACCTCACTTTTACGATGGGGTGTAGCTGCTGATGCATGCAATGCTGTAAACAGTCAATGCAAGGTGCAACTTCTAGCCTTGATGGCCTTTACCCTCATTCATGCAGTTCAGATTAGTATATGTTACATGGATCTTTCCGTAGCATATTGTCTTCCTTTCTTTATGGGCTAGAAATCCCTCGTTAATGAAGTTCTTAACCTTTTTTTCTTGTTCTTAGTTTCTCCTTGAGCAACTTTAGGAGGATGTAATCTTTATTTTCAGCCATGGTTTACATTTTGATTAAAGTATCATATATTGTGCATAGGAACGTGTTGATTAATGAAAGAGAATTATTCTCTGACGAACAATTGTTTATTTGTATAATTTGGAATTTTTCATTTCATGTTTCCCTTACATATACAAGGCGATTAGATTATATACCTTCTCTCCTTTGTGATTCTCTCCATGTCTCTCCCGCTCTCCAATACTCAAACAATCTTTAGATTTTGGTATTGCATATGCAGAGAGTTGACATTAACATTTGGTGCTCTTATTGAAATTAATTGAATTGAAGGAAAAGTATAATGGGGGACAACAGTACAGATAATTCCAGAAGCACCAAGCTTTTGAATTGGAATGGAGAATCCACACCCAACGACCGGGGAAACTTTGAATGTAGCTTTTGCATAGGCAACACATGAACAAGTTCTTGAATTAAGCACTGGATTCAGCCTTTATCTATATGATATTTGACCATGTTGCCCCCATCAAGTAAAACTTGGAAGCAATTGTTGGAGTTTTTGACTTGTCCTCCATTATGATGAAACAAGTAACTCACAGTAAAATCTCTTCAGCTTAGCGGCACTTTGAGTGGTTATGCTAAGTTTTGATGTAGACGTCTCACTATATCCCTTAATTTTATGGAAAAAATATATTAAAAAACCGAGCTCATTTCTTTGATGTTTAAGAGTCCTCGTATTGATATCTCATTCCTCTGAACTTTAAGAGTTCTTAGTTTGATATTTGCAAATGACTCGCACATCACATAGCGCACCTTTTGTGGTTTGAAGATCTGATTTAATTGTAATAATGCTAGGTGCTTTTCAGTCTTGAATGTTCTTAATAACACTCAGACTCTGCTAGAAGCTGGTTCCTCAGATTTCCTCTCAACAGCATTAATTTAATGAATTCTAAAGATTGTTTCACCTATTTTCAGAACTTCTAAGACCGTGAAATTATTGCATGCCGTCTAATAAGAAGAGTCCTTAAAAAATTACATGATGAGATTTAATATAGTGGCTTGTTCGGTCTAACAGTAGTTACATCAAGGAGGGCCCTTTCAAATTTATCGTTGTCTAAAATTCTCTTCATATAATGTTGAATATATTGCCGAAGGATGCTGATAACCTAAATTTGGAGGAGATACTAGAAATATTAAGTATTGCTGCCCGAATAAACTATGTTGGTCTTGGTCCCTTGTGAGAAACAAAAGTAGGATGAATAACTTATGATAATAGGACTATGAAGAAACTGATAAAAGTTCTCTACTCGAGGATGCTTTTCTTAGAAATAGATATCATGAAGCGTGATCAATTTCATCTCTGAGTATCATGATTTGTTGCTGCCTTCAAACTGCCCAGTCTCGATTATTATGCCTATATTATAAGACAGAGTTCTTCAATGGTTACATCTCATGAATAAAGCTTTGAAGATGATATAAACATGTAAATTTTATTTCTGACAGTCATGATCACAATATATAATTAATGTTGGCTCCATGTGATCATTGAAGAACTCATACAAGAGGGGCACCTTAAAGTTTTCGGCTGACTAGCATCAAGGCCAACAAATGGAGCACAATCTTGAACTAAGCTAGGCTGAGCGAAATCAAGATTGCTAATATGATTGAGGCATACATTGATGGAACTGTTTCTGAGGTTGCAAGCCATTGGGATTTTACTATTAATATTATGAGATAAATGTTACCATAACATCGTACTTATCATTTGCTTTACATTTTATGTTCTTTTGGTTAACCAGAATTTGCTCAATGTTATGATAGTTGTTAAGAGATGATCAATATCCAAGTTGTAGAGTTCTAATTTACATAGTTATGTAAATATTTTTTTTTTATCTATTCAAGAAGCTTGATTTAGACAAACAAACTTACAGACCACCATTAAAGTTTGTTCAAGTTTTTAGGAGAATGAATCCTAGATTGAATGATTACTCTTCCAGTCATTTGGGAGGCTTATATTTCTCACAAGATGAGATGATTGATTTTATACTATGGATAGCATTGCTGATATTCAAGCGATTGCTTTTGAATAATTTCTGTGGATACATCAATGAGCCATTTGACAATTAAATTTTGAAATTAGTATTAGTTACCTTTATTTTAGAAGTATCATATGAACATTTTTCAGGAGCAACAATTAACCTTTGTTGGTAGTGGAATGAAAACTCAGATGAGACTTTTGCTCGTCGGAATGGTAGTTGAAGTTTCAATAATTGAAGGAGATTTTGGTTGGACTTCTTGCATTAAGTAAGTCTTTGAAGCTAATTCTCAAACTAAGTTGATTTTTCTTTTGAGAGGAGCTCTTTGAGATGTTGGGGGTGGGATGTAGATTGGACATCATTTTTCGTCAAGTTTATATCTAGTTGGCTGACAAAACAATCAATCAAATAAAGTAAATATGTACATTGAGATTTAATATGCAATCTGACCGGATTTATGCAAAGTACTTGATTTAGGTTCCATCCAAAGAATTCGATGCCTTGGCTGGGTTCGAAATATGGTCATAGGCAATGGCTATAAAAAAAAATTGAAGAATGTACATAGACTTCATAAGGGATAAATGATGTCTGTTGATTCGTTTTTTTATATCGAGCATCCATGCTTAGTTAATTTAGTAGTTCGATTTTTCATGTTGAGTTTTCTTGATGCTTTCTTGGATGTTCTAGTTTAAGGTTATTCCAAATAAGACAGTTTTGTTTAGTTTGAAAATCACTCATCACATATCATTGGCTAATAGTAAGGACTTTGATCACAAGGAAGGTGAAACTTAGAGCCGTACATCATTGATTTACTAATCAAAATCAAAAGCCTAGCCAAAACCTTCGACATATATCCCTAAGACTTTCACAACTCTAAGAAGGCATTCCTACTAAATACATCTTCTGTGAACTCTGTATTTTCCAATGGATGACTGGTTTGAGAACAGGAAAGGTGGAGTTATACATCAATGATGTATTCATCAGAAGCAAAAGACTAGCCAAACACCTTCTAGATCTGAGAAGCTCACATCATTAAGAAGGTATATTACGAAACTCAATTTTACTAATTGCAATATTTGTGTAGGATGCGGAGTTCTTGCGTTACATAATTATTCAAATGGAATTCAAGTCAACCTCAATAAGTTTGAGTGATTTTACAGATATATTCTTCTTGTTTGGTGGAGGTGTGCAAGCTGATAGGTAATTTACCTTGTGTATGTTAGTTTTTCTATGTATAGAGAAAGGAGTTCTCTTGTTGTGGGGCTTTCATGTTGAACCGGTAGGTTCAGCATTGTGCCAGTCCAAGAGAGAGGTTGGACTGGCCGACTGGTTATTGGGCGGGAACTGCCTCCCCTTCTATTCTCCTTCTACCTATTTTATTATAAATATGTTGCTTATTGTTGTAGGGTTTAGTTTTTTGCTGTTCTTTGATTTCAAATTTGTCTCCGGTAGTTACTCCCTTCCTAGGGTTGCATCCGATGTTGAGAAGCTGTTCTGGTTGTAACTCGTTCGAGGTGGTGTGTATCTTTCCGCTCTTTCCTCGCTGCCATCTTTATCTTCCCCACTGCTAGCCGACCTGCACCCTTCCTACACCTATTCTCCCATCTGCTAACCCTTAAGCCCTCCTGTTGGGCCACTGGAGCCCCAAAAACCCCACGCTACGTGCTGCAACCTTGCCTTCAGGCGGTGCCTTGATCTTCCACCCTGCCGCTTTCAAGACCCCCTTCCCCTTCCTGTTTGGCTGCATACCCCATCCTAGACTCCGCTGATGGTCGGAACTCCTCATCCAGCCCATCAACCTGCCCTTACCACCCCCTATTCCTTTTTCTGCATGTCGCACAACCCCAACCGACCAACCCACCAATACCTTAGGGAGTCGGTGATGTTTGTATTGCTTATTTCCTGTTTCGAGAAACTTGTTCTAATCCCCCTATGGTTCAATAATAATAATTGTGTTTTCGTTATGATCTGGGTTAACTCTGATATCAATTGGTATCAGAGCTAGTCTAATCCTAGTCTTATCTTAGAGTTTCTTAGCATCTGCCATAACTTAAAACTTTCTTTCCTACCATCAAATATCCTTTTCACCATCACAAATTTCAAATCCTAACCATGCCACCAAGATAGATGTTGTACCCTATCCGAGATTAAGTTACAACAAGAGATCCATCGCTTTCAGTAGAGGCTAACAGAGATGGATGATGGGACTCAGAGGGAGATTACTCTCAATCGAGATCGGAGAGCCGAAGGGGAGAAAAGGACGGGGATCTTAATTCGTTTCATAGAGAAGATGTCTGTGATGAAGAATATAGGCTCCTGCGCTACGAAATTCAATATCATAGAAGGTCGAGAAAGGAGACCACAACATAATTTTCTCTACTTTACCGAAGTTCGATGAAGGTATGATCCAGGCGACTTTCTCTACTTGTTGCAATTCGCCGAGTGAATTTTCAAGTATAACGACTTGTCAGAGGATAAACAGGTAAAACTAACAGTCATCAAGTTGAAGAAGGGTGCCTCACTGTGGTGGGAAAACCAATGGAGGCAGAGAAAGAGAGAGGATAGTAGCAAGATCACAAAATGAGAGAAGATGAGGAAGGAGATGCAGAGGAAATACCTGCCACCTCACAACCATCATGAAATATTTCTGAGGCTCCATCACCTGCAACAACGAGATCTATAGGTGTTCACGATCCAGCTTAACCACTTGTAGATAAAGTGCTAGTCGGTGTAGCCAGATGAGCATACGATAGCCCGCTATCTAGGAGGTTTGATGTTCGCTATCAGCACTGTGGTATGACTGCAACCCTATTGGTCACTTAGAGATGTCCAGACCTTAGCATTGTAAGTAGAAAGACAATGGAAGTAGAGCAATCATCCACCACCAGTTATGCAACAAACCGCAGTTGGAGATATCAACAGGAGCATGCATCGGAGAGTTGAGAAAACTGGTTCGGAGAATGACAGTGCCTCCCTCAGTGAGAAGCCTGAGAAGAGTAGCACGCCTACTAAGGCTATTCAACAAGTTGAGTTGCGTCTTTTACCGAGCAGGGCGACATGAAGAACGTTAGCTATGAAGAGGTTGTTGAGGAATAGGGTGAGGTATATCATCTCCCATCGGATGAAGGCGAGAGCTCCTGGTTCGACAAATCCTACAGACTGAGGATATGAGGGATCCGCAGTGGCTTTGCCACAACTTATTCTACACTCGTATTGAGAACGAGAAGGTATGTAGTCTCATCATTGATTGAAGGAGTAACAAGAACTTGACATCTACGCAGATAGTAGAGAAATTGAGCCTTATGACTCTGAGATATTCCCAGACGTATTCTCTGACGTGACTAAAAGAGAACAGGGTCAACATTGTTCGGATGTGTCTAGTAGAGTTTGCGATTGGAAACCAGTTGTAGGATCATGTGTGGTGCTATGAGGTCCCTATGGATGCCTGCCACCTATTGTTAGGGAGACCGTGAAAATTTGACCGTAAGACCCAACACGACGGATTCATAAACAACTACTCTTTCATTGGGTGGGGAAGCTCATCGTCCTTCTCCCTTCCGCGAAGCCTGAGATCACAGGTGCTCTTTGTAGCAGAGAAACGTCGGTGAGATTTATGTTGGTGACGATAGAGGGTGACAGTACTGAGACGCCGATTCTAGACATGGGACATTCACGACAGAGAGCATTTATGGACTTCACAATTGATACCTTGCCACCTTGGCCACCACCACTCAGAGAGTTTTCAGTTATCCTCACAGGTTGAGCTGAACTTGTGCTTTTTTGGGAGGATTTTCAACAATGTATGCGTGACACGCATGCCCGAGCCAGAGCAGTAGTGTGCTCTCAGAGATATGGATCGATATGGATGTTTGTTTGTAAGTGGGAAAAGATCCTTAGGTGCCTTGGGGTACGGCGCAGTTGCCAGTGGCATCCAAGTGCTTTTTGGTTCGCAATTGAGGAGCCTTCAGCCTTTAGAGGTTACAACAACTCCATCACCGATAATGGGCAAATACAAGTTTCGACGAATGAGGTCATAACTCTCCCAACCCCATGAGGCTGACACAGGGCTTCTACGCTGAATCGGTCGATTCTGCAAGGTGTCGGACCAACAGGGAGACTGGATCGATTGACTGGTTATTGCCGGGAACTACCGCGCCTCCTCCTCTTCCTACCTATCTTATTTTAAATATGTTGCTTATTGTTTTAGGGTTAAGTTTTTTGCCGTTCTCTGATTTTAGATTTCTTCCTTGAGGCGTTTCTCTCTTTCTAGGGCTGTATTCGACTGTGAAAAAAATGCTCCGGCTGTAACTTGTTCGACGTGGTGTGTATTCTTCCGCTCCTTCCTCGTTGCCGCCTTTATCTTCCCTGCTGCCAGCCCACTTGCACCCTTCCTACACCTTCTCTCTCAGCTGCAAACACGTAAGCTCTCCTTGTTGGGCCACTAGAGCCCGCCCCCAGAATCACCCCCTGCTTCTTGTCATAATCCTGCTTCCAAGCTGCTCCTGTTTGCTGCCCGCACCCTTCTTCCACCCTGCCGCTTTCAAGACTCCCTTCCCCTTCTTGTTTGGCCGCAGACCCCATCCTGGACCTCTGTTGATGGCTGCAACCCCTCATCTAGCCTCACAACCTGCCATTACCACCCCGCTACCCCTTTTCCCGCCTGCTGTACAGCTGCAGCCCACCGACCTTCGCCATCACCCTATGGAGTTGGCTGTCTTTGTATGCTCATTTCCTGCTTTGAGAAACTTATTGTAATTCCCTTATCGTTCAACAATAATATTGTGTTTCCGTTGCGATCTGGGTTAACTGTGGTATCAGCTCCTTTTTTTTAAATCACTCAGAGAAATTCAACGACTTAAACTGGATGGAATTATTTATTGCACTATATTTTCATTGATTCTTATTCATCTAAAATTGAGCGGAAAATTGCTGAAATGTAGTGAATTAATGATTCACGTATAAGTTCTACACCTGTTTGCTTAGTAATAGGAAAACAACAACTTTGAACAAAGCTAAGTTGAAACAAACTAGATTGGGTAGGCCACTCTAGCTGAGTTGACATTAATATGATGTGTTCGAGCATTCTTTTCAAACAAATCTAGTCAAGTTGGTGACTAACAGACCGTTCAGACTTATAATGTAGAAGCCCTTTCGGCTATTTATGTCGTTTCGGGGGAATTGAAGTAGTGGTTAATTGAACTGAAAAATTATGAGATTGATTATATGCCCTGAAAAGAAGTTCTCAAAGAGATAAATGCTGGAGCATGTGGAAGCCATTCAAACTGATAAATTTTGGCAAATAAAATTTTAAGAAAAATACATTTGTTGAGTTTTTATTTGTGATGTTTTGTTTTATGCTTTTGCTTTACGTCGTCTTTCTTTCTTTTTGAGGCATTATTTTAATCATGTTTGAGCCATTAATAAATTTGTCCTGTGTTGTGGTTTGGGTAAACTCCGGTATATGCAATATTGGGGAGGACATAGCTCTGTTCGTGTAATATAATATATATGCACAACACGCTTGCAGTAATTTGTGGTCTGGCATGACATTTCTTTTATTAGATAAAATTCCAATTTAAGAAGCTTTAATATTTAGACACTATGAAGCTTTTTCATTTCATCAGATGAATTTATTGCGTTCTTCATTCATAATCACTGATTTAATATCATACGCGTAAATAAACAGTTAAATTCTGATAAAGTATTTGTATTTGCTGGAACAATTCGTTCTGGTCTTAAGAATTTTCCTTTGCCAGGAGTGTGGTGGTCCGATCTAATTCTTCTTTTTAAAGTTTCCATATTTTCATTTCTAACTCTGTTCTTAAAACATTATATAGGCTGAATCTGCTTAAAGCTCCAGCCTATGTAGAATTATGATTTTATTGATTCTCTGCATTTTTTCTTTGTTGAAATTTTATTGTCATAGACTCTCTCTTTCTTTCCTTAACATCCGTAATCTTTTAAAATGATATGTATGACTGTTATTCTTGTAGGCATATCTCAGTGCAATTATTGTCTATCTTTATTTGCACGATTTCAAGCAAGCTCGGAAATGCTATGATGATTGCACACAGTGAGTAGCAAACAATTAATTTAAAGCATTTTTTGAGATAGATCGTATTTTCTTATTATTCAATTTAAAATTTGTCGCTTTATACATTTTTATCGATGGCCAAACTTGTCAGAGCTTATAGATGTTATTGTGGATTGTCTCCGCTCAAGTTTTTAATTTAGCTTGTTCTGTATGTTGATATAAAAATTTAAAAAGAAGATTTTTTTATTTTATTTTATGCCTTTTAGAGTTTAAAAACAAAATTAATTTCAATCTCAATCGAACCAAACAAGTGAATCTAATTAATAAATTAATTTTCAAAACAGAATTTAAAAATTTGAAGCACAAATGGAGGTTTAGCTTATTTAATTGATTTGAACAGGATTGCAGCTTTCCTAAGTAGTGATCAGAACCGCTGTGCAAGCAAGCTACTTTCTGCTTATAGAGAAGGCGATATCGAAGAGATCAAACGTGTAGCCCAATCAAGCCCCATTTCTCATCTCGATCATGTGGTAATTCTGCTCACTAATTTTATTGATGTTCTTTATATTTTGATTAGCAGTTCAAATTTTTTTTTTTTTTTTATGATTGATAGGTGGATCAAATATCTCTGTTCGTGTTGTTATTCTTCAATACTCCCAATTTATAGCCTTCACAAAAATGACGAATTAATGATTAAGGGCCATTTACATGCATAGCAAGCAATTTCTATATATATATATACTCAGATTAGTTAGCCTGGAGTTCGATTCCCCCGAGTGTAGGGTGTGGTACTTGAATTATAGGCGAATGAGGAGTAACTGGGGCTCGTATCATAGCCTTCGACAATTTCTTTTTAAATAAGAATATATATATAACATCTAAGCTTTACTTTTTACATTTCACATAAAAATACCACTAATTTAAATTTTAAAAAGAAAATATATCTTGTATGCATAAGGAAGATAGACATATAAAAATTGAAGTTTGTGTTAATATGTAAATACATAGGAATTGAGGGGTATGCATGTAAATCTTCCAATAATTTAATATTCATTCAAATTGATTCCGTGAATTTTTTTGATTTTTTATGAGAGCTAATGGATTTTGTTTTGGATGTCAGATTATTAGACTTGCAAGAAAATTGCCAACAGGTGATCTGGATGGGTTAAAAATAGAAGATGCCGATGAGCACGAAACTCTGAATGAGGATGATTTAACTTGAAGAGAAATATATTTATGATAAACAATATGTAAAAAATTCTGATTTTTTTAATAATTTGGTTAATGCAAATATAATTTGAATATTAAATGCATATCGTACATAAAATTGATGTTGCATTTTATATTTTAATGGATTTCATCTCAAAATTCTGCATATTGTTTTCCACTACAAATGCATTTCTGAATTTATATATTTATTTATACCGTTGAGGCTTGGGCATGAGAACAAAACTATTGGTGGGTCGTTTGATTTGCTGCATTACCATGAAAATGCAAAGGGAATGTATAGATTTTCAGGTTTGTTTGGGCTTCGAAAATTCGAAACGCCCCAACCTCCCTGAATAGAGAAGAGTGAATTAGAACGAGGCAGTTTATAGTGAGGCTCTGGGTTAAATTTTCAAAGATATGAGATAATAGATAAGACTCTTCTCGGAGATTGCACCATCATTTTGTGAGAATTTAAATCTAGGATTCGAGGTTTTTTATAGACTAAAGGCCACCCCTATGGTTAATTATCAGTCTCTATAATGGGAAAGCACTCTCCATCAAGGCTAGTCATCAGATGTTAAAAATCCACTTAGCCTATAATATTAGCAATTTTGATATTTTTAAATTATGAAATTATCACGGCGAGCTTAAGAGTATATGACAGAGGAAATGACCTAGCACCTTATCAAAATTTTATGGTTTTGTCGTTTGGTGTTGTCAAGGACCTTGATTTATTTAGTCAGATAAAATCGTTACCTAACCTGACTGAAGAATCATTTGGTTATTTGTCCAAGGGAATTTTCTAAACACGGGGTGGCTATTTCTCTGTAGGGACTAATCTAAGTTAATCTCAACTTAAAAAGGGTTTTGTGTCTTATCAAATATATCATGTCATAAAAAGGGGCAAAATATTATTGACGAATATACAAGTTATAATCGTGATCATTGTACAATGGAGACTACTAGCTAAACAACTTGATCGAGCTTATTGACCAAATTATCCGCTAAGAGAGCATTAGTCGTAACCAATTTTTTTGTGAAGTTTTAGCCAAATAACACAAACAGAGGACTCATGCCACATCTTTAATGACATATTTATTTTGTGTTTGAATTTATTAGTATGTTTAATATGACAATGACTTTTAAGCTTAGGCTAAGATTAAATTTATCCCCCCAACAAATGATGGTGACAGACATTGGATTTTTTGTTCTTTAGATTTTAGTGATTGTTAATTTTATTTAAATATTTAAAAATTTTTATGATTTGAAATTCCTTTAATTTTAGATAAATCCCTCTGATTGAGATGTGCAATAGTATGCCCATTATTGGTGAATGATTGAAATGCTTATTTTGATATTTAATTAAGCTGTCACTTAAGCATTGAAAAGTGTATTTGGTTTTGTGTTAGGAGAAGGATCAAACTGGCTTAGTGAGGGCTCAGTCTTTTCAACTCCAATTCATCTAGAGAGCATGTCAATTTCTGTCTGTGTTAGGAGAAGGATCAGACTGGCTTAGTGGGGGCTCAGTCTTTTCAACTCCAATTCATCTAGAGAGGAAGATCAAAGTAGAAGCTCAATTTTGTGAACTCTGGTCCTTAGAGGGAGGAGAATTAGACTAGGTAAATGTGCGACTTACAACATTGCCTTGTAAGCAAGGTGACCGGTTTGAGAGTGTGTGATTTAATAGTTTTTTATTTGGCTTTTGGAAAGAAGATTTTTGTGAAGTTTTAAAATACATGCACATTTATTGAAGCATATTTAATTTTAGGCTAAACATGCAATTAGCCCGCGTAACATTGTAACATTGTTAGACATTTAAGTTTAGAAAAGTTGAGACAAACTAAATAGCACACGTGGGTATTTAATTTATCAAATTGAGTTGATTTTAAATCACTTTTACAAGTATTTCAAGTAGCTTTGATTTGAGCTCGAGTATGTTTTAACCCGTGCAAGATTCTCGAACGAATGAATCTAAGTTTTTTCTCACTGGTATTTGGGAGTGTAGCGTGCAAATGGAAGGTTGGAAGAAACTATAGATGTTGAGAAGGTGGAGATGGCTTGAAGCAGGAGAAAACGAGCGGGGGAGAGAGAGAGATGGTGCGTGAGAGAATAATAGAGAGGGAGAGAGATTGGGGATATGATCTAGTTAGAGAGAGAGAGAGAGAGAGAGAGAGTGCATACGTGGTACGCAAGCATGTTGAACATGTCCACCTTTTAGACTCTTTTCTTGCAATCCAGGAGTGAGGAGAGAATATTAGATGTGAACGACATCTAGACTAATACAATCATGTTGTATGGTTGTATTCATGAGTACAACTATGAATATAACTGTGTATTCAACGTCAAATTAGGATTACTTATCAATTGATTGAATCTGAACACTTGAGAAAATATTATTTGTTATTTTGAAGATGTTTTTGGAGGAGTTGGGATTTTGCCCACACGTTTAGACTAGCAATTTTGATCAAAATTTACTTAATTTAACTTGTTTAAAAATACTTCCTTTACATTGGACATGTGGACATCAAAAGAAGAACACCCAAATAGCTATCATGTTTGGAGAGAAGCTTTGAAAATAAAAATCTCCAAAAGACTTGATTATGTGGATATAAAAGGCAATGTTACAATAACATTATTTGTTGTTGTAAATTTTATTATCACGTTATTATGTATTAAGTGATGTATTACGCTTGATTTAATAGAATAATAGAATAATGATTTCTCTTAATTGTCAAAATTTATTTCTATTTTATTTAAATTATTCATGAAACTACAGACTTACAACTAACATATATACATAAGGGCATAACAATTTTTTTTTCTATAAAATATCTGCAACACAGCAGAACATCTAAATGGATGTATTGCTTCACCATTAGCAGCTTTCTAACAGTAGCTTATCATAAGAGCACCTGATCAGAGCTGCCCCAAACAGACTCTAAATGGTTGGTTTCGGATTGAAGCCAAATAACTTAACAAGGTTTCCCATCAACGTACAATATCCAGTACTTGATATTTTATGTTTGGTAGATGAATGCTTAAGAATTTCAATTGATTTATTGGGTATTTACATGCAGAGTTGCAGACTGCATGATTCTTATGTATTTATCTGTCTAACACGAATGCAAATGTAAAATTTTAGGTGTTTGACATCCATGAAACTTCTATGGTATATATGCAAATTTCTCTTTGTTTTATTTGGGACTGGTGATCCTGAAATCTCAAGTGAGTTTGGTCTCAATTTTTTTTTTATATTAATACTATTTGTAAATTACTTATTTTAAATGGAAATTGCATAATAGCCCATTTGATTGTTTATAAATAGATATATGTTTCAGAATAAGATGATGTCATTCACTTATTTTTAGTGCAAAATTAATATCGTTAAATTAGAGGGAGTTCTGAGAGCATATAAAGAGTTGGAAATTGATGTTAATGTATAACAATATATAACGATCAATTTAATAAATATCATCGGTTTTCAAATAACATTATTAATTCGAAAAAGCAATTGAATCATTTGAAATATTACAAGTCATAAGATTTTTTTTTTATTTTAATTGTCACCTTCAAAATATTAAATAACAATATTATACATTATTTTTCGCATCACAGTGCTACTTGACCTGCATGTGCAGTTGTTCCACACTATAGTCCACATTTGATTATCCATACATAATATTTTCTTATGTGTGCGGATGTGTAATTGTATATATGTTGTCGATCACACGATAGGACTTGCGCTGATTAGCATCCGGCCACGCCTCCAATCACACCACACCAACGACCCCCTTTGGTGCTTCTTCTGCCAAAACATCAGTAGAGTTAC